AGTAATGTGACATAGGTTCTTTGATTCCAAAAATAATTGGAGAAAGAAGATTCAATCTCCCTAAAGACATGTCCAGTTTTGTTGATGTGAATCTCAACGTCCAATGTTTTCTATTGTTGAATGCATAACCAGAGCCCTCTTTTCCCAATTTATATATGTTACTGGCAAGAAAATATCTTGGGCGCTTATAAATGAAGGAGACGAAAGTATGAAACAAAAACTGTTTTGCCCCATATATGGTAAGTTTATCGATTTTTATTTTTTTTTATTTTATTTTATTTTATTTTTTCTGTTGAATTTTGTACAAAATTGATTTCACAGTTTAGATTTTCTTTAATTCCAGTACTTATTTATTATTCATGTTTTGAGGTTAGTGTTTGCAAACATTCATTGCAAGTGCATAATCTGAATTAGACAACGAAGCGCAGTTTGAGTGGTAAGACGTTTCACCTATGACTCATAGATTATGGATTCGAGTTACCGAAGAGAGGAAATGAGAACACTATTGATTTTCCTTACAAAAAGAAGTGCATAATCTAAATTAGTCAAAATAGTTTTTCACCATTCGATTTCGGGTGTATTAGTTGTATATGACTTTATTTTGGCGGTGAAAGTGATTTTCTGGACTATTGTGATGCCAATGAACTTTTTCATATCATAACGAAATATTTATAATAGACTAAATTAATATATTACATGATTAGACGTGGTCCGAGATCATATCAACCTTTTCTAGTAGTTAGTAGTTGCGAGGCTTCATTGTTATGGAATAAGTCAAAAGTCAAAACAATCTGCATACAAATGCACTTACTTCCACGTGTCAGTCCATAATCTACACACCACTACTACAATTATTATACCAAATATTATTTTCTCGTTCTTAAAAAAAAAAGAAAACACGATCATTTTTTTCTTTCACATATACATTGTAGCATTAGAACAATTGACCACGGATTGAAGATCCTCCCAATCTGCATGGCTTAGCAACTCGTTAATGCCACTTGACATGTTATAGCTCGAAAAAGATGAAGCCGCCATTATTGGAGCTTCAGATACCGTGCTCGAATATTGGCCCGAAAACAAATTCGCAGTATTATGGCCCGGAAAAAAGCTTTTCTGTTGATCCACATTTTGTTTGACAGCTGTCATTGGCGAGCTGAAGCTGATATAGCTGCTTTTATTACCGTTTTGGTCAGTGGAGTCGATGCTGCATGTTTCTGATGAACTTGCGTCCACTAATAACTGATTCTTATTTATGCTATTAATTTTCTTCACACCAAGTCTCAACTCCGATACGTACTTTCTGTGTGGTGCATTGCGCTTTAGTATTCGGCACAACGTCCAAACTTCCTGTTAATTCAACCAAAAATGCTAAGTTAGGCTGTGTTTGGATACAAATAATCAGCTCAAAACGAGTTTTTTTTATTAACCATGGTTAATTTTGAAAAAGTTGGTATGGTTAGTTGTTAGTGGCTGGGTTTTTAAATTTTTAGTAAAATAATATTTAAATAAAATGATTAAGGTTAATTTGATGTAAAAGTATGAAAGAGATGATGTGAAGTGATGGTTAGTTAAAACTCTGTGAGTAGATAAATAGTAAATTAAAGTTGACGTGATATGCAAGAACGATTAATTGATATTATTTAATTTATATTGATAGTATTGAAGATAGTGGAATTGAGTTAAATTGAATTATATTTTTAGTATGAATTGAGTATGAGTTGAAATAATTGATAAACAAACACAGTTAGTGGACTAAGAAATGCATTTTTTCCACTTAAAAAAGTAAAAACAATATATAGTGTAATTGTGATGTGTAAGTATTAACAGTAATAGTTGATTTACTGAAATAGTTGTTAGTGAACAATGATGGTGTTGGTTTTTATTTTCTACAAAAATATTTCAAACGAGACAACAAGAAAATCCAATCTTTTGACCATGAAGCACAAAACCTCATGAATTTCAACCGTGCGTGCGAACCCTTTTCAAACCATCATTAATCAAGCAAATTGACCAAAATAAGTAATTAATAACATAATTATTATAATAGTTATTGGGAAAATAATTGTATGGGATAATATTCTTACAGCTTCTTGAGCAGAAGTGGGTGTGGCATCCGCCGGCAGTCGAAACTCGTGCATCATCCACTCGGTTTTGGTGCCTTTTCCGGCGCTACCACGGTAATAGACGAGGGACTTTTTGAGGCCTATGCAGTCTGGGCCTGAATATATGGGCCTATCAATACCGGTTGCCTTCCAGAATCCCGAGCCCGTTACTCTATTGGGCCTCACGCTGTTTTTGTATTTTCTACCTCTTTTGCAGAAGAAGTACCACTCTTTGTCTTTCTCACCTAAATTTGTCGATTCTGAAAAAAATAAAAAGTACCTTATTCTATATCAAGCTAATGCATTATGTTTATGTCCGTGAGAATTAAGCTTTTATGGCTAGCTAACGCATAAATAGAAGAATTAAGTTAATACATGGAAAATTATTGAGAATTAATCAGAAGCTAATTGCGTTCGGAAATTGAAGTTTGTAATATTTGTCCATACTCTCTGCTTCACTACTAACTAATTGCAATTTATTCGATTGTTAGCCAAGATTCAATTTTTTTTTCCCTTTTACTTATTTACTTGTGTTTGCAACACAGTGAATACGAAAGACTAATTTATCTTGATCTTTAATATAAAATGAACATGGTGAAATCACTGATATTCTAAAGCTAAGAGCTTGAATTGAGNAAGATCATATCAAACGAAAGATATCTTACTAAAATAACTAAAGCCTATCTTAACATGAACGTAACAAAATTGATAAGTGAGATAATGTAATGTTAAACTAAATTGAAAATATAGTAGAGAAACATACTTGGAAGATCCCATGGATCATATTTGTAGATATCAACCTGCTTGATGAGCTCAATTCCTATAGGCTTCTTTTCGACTTTTCTCCGAAGATAAAACCCTACAAGCTCTTCGTCTGTAGGGTGAAAACGAAAACCAGGAAGTGGGATAGTCTCGTCTTCTTCTTCTTCTCCTCCTCCCTTCATCATATTTTCCACTTCCATTACGGTTACTGATTTTTTTTCAAGCCTTTGTAGAAATTTATCGGCCGCTTTTCTGAAAAGTAGCTAGGGTTGGAAAGTTTCGAGGGCTTTTTTTTTTTTTTTTCCTTTTTTTCTTTGCCTTTGTAAAGAAGAGAAATATTTGGTTCTTAGCATTTATATATAGAGTTGATATTTGAACATGTATGCACATGAGAGCCTTATTATCTTTAACAATTTTATTGGTCAAAGTCGTGAGTGTTGACTTGTTCGTTTTTGATGGGGTCACCTGAGATTTATTTATTATGGTTTTTGGGACTTGAAGAAGTCTTTCTTGTATTTTTATTTTCATTTTCCTCTTTTGATTTTCTTGCTTGTACATATATATATGATCTAAAATATATATGTAAACAAAAAAGTAAATGCATCATGAATGAAGAAATGGTTAATTATTTTTTCTACATTTAAAATGAACGTACTGACATTTATGCTAGCTCAAAAAATAACAATGATATTGTAGGTACTATATTAAATTTCGCTCTGTATACATACTTGAGCATTTTGACATTTTCAATAGACTGAGTAAATTTTTCTTGGACTCAACCCAAATCAATAACTAATGATCAACCAAATAAGCTGCATTTTTATTTTACTTTTCAAAAAGAAATTAAAAAATAATAATATTTTATAAGAAATCAAATCCATGTAAAAGACAAACTTTATTTTCAAAATAGAAATTCTTTCATTCCTATTTCTACGTTTAATATATTTTCATTAATTTTAGATGCATTATATATGAAATGATTAAAAATTAAACTAATTTATCCAAAAAAATAAAGCACTACGTATTAATGTATGAGGCTTTTATTCTTTCGTTTTGATTGGGCCAAGTTTGCTGCACAATTGTCACACATCTGGTGCCCATTGGAATTTTTGATTGAACATGACGTTATAACTTATTTTGATTGAATGAATAAATTTACTAATTTCTTCATAAAACAATCTTGAACTTTTCTTTTATTTTTCTTAATAAAATAATGACAAATATTTAGTTTGTTTTATTTACGGATAAAATCAGTTAAATAGTCGAATGAGTCCGCTACCTAGATGAATTAGAAGACTACACTAATGGTTGCCTAAAAAACAACCAACACAAATTAAGCAAAGAAACCAATATTTACTTAGTTACAAGCGCAATTTATATCTACTAGAATTTTATTCTCTTGGTCAATTTATTTGTGCGGGAGGCTTCTAGAGTTCCTTGAAATAAACGATGTCATGGATAGTTAGTTTTTTGTTTTTTTAACAATTAATAAGACAAAATATTTATAAATTATAAGGTCGATCTTCTGAGTTGGTGCAAACAAGTACAAAAAATTCAATAAACCTGATAATCCAAATCTTTGATTTGGGACACAACCTTGACATATTGAGAGTTAAATAAATATTATCAAAACCAAATATCAACCATCAATAATTTGCGATATAATTCCACGACTCAATCTATAGATTCCATATATATAGTTGAAAAATATAATTTTACTTACCTCCCATTCTCCGTATGTCAATAAATGTAATGTCAATAAATGTAACAGTATCAAATAGTAAGATTCCACCACATATGACAAATATATTTTTATATATCTTCACATGTCAATAAATGACATTACCAAATAGTAATATAGTTAGAGAAATGTTCGCAGGTTTTTTTCTTTAAACAATTAAAAAAAAAAAGACACATAATTTCATCTAGTCACCAATCATAAATAGTCAAGTAGTCAAACAACTAATATATATAGTGAGAGGATTACACAAAGGCCTTCTTTGTAATTAGCAGTTAGCTGATTGCATTAACTGTTTTGACCAGCGGATTGTGTTAGCTATTCTGACCAGATGATTGTGTTAGCGGTTTATATAAGAGTGTTTGGTAAAATTAGCTATTTCTAGTTAGCTGTTAACATGTAAAATTATTTATAAGGACATCAACATAATTTATCATTCTTATTTATGTTGAACTTACAATTATTTAGGAAATAAAATAATTAATATTTGAATATTTATTAAAGTTATTTAAAATATAATAAAATATAAATAATAATAAAAAATATATTTCTTAACTGAGTAAATAATTTCACCTTATATAAACAAACCTAATAACAAGTCATCACGATTTAAAATAAATAAATAAGTAATATCTAAGTAACTAAAATTTATATTAACAATTTCTAAAAAGTTCTCATTTCCATCTAAGTAACTAAAATTATATATGTTTAAAATTTTATAAAATAGTTGGTAAAATTAGTTGTTAAGTATTATACTAGAATTAATTGGAATGACATTTATAAATATTTTTCTTATGTTCATTAATTATAGTTTTGAAAAAATAAATATTATTTATACTTTTAAATATGAAAATTGTGATATATATTTTATTGCTATAGGTTTGGATAAAAAGTACGAGCACTGCACAAGTTTTGATTAAAAATGATTTTTTCTATAATTGTGAGATTGAAGAGAGTGTTGTCTAGTTTATGTCCGTGTGGTATAAGTGAGGGCAATTAAGACTTGTATTTTTTTTTTCTTGAACCGCTAACATCAAACGCTAGCAAAAGCAGCGTTTCCCACATTAGCTGATAGGCCCAAAAAAGCTAATTGTAAAAGTTGTTTACCAAACATGTTTTTTAGCTGATTGTAAAAAGTCAAACAACTATAATAGATGAAAAAGCTCTTTTTAGGCCAAAAAGCCATTAAACAAACACAACCAAAGATAGCGTAATGCTAACACACTCACAAAACAACAAACTACACAATTCCCACAAGTTGAGGATACAAGCTCCTAAAGAGATTTTGAGTGAGATTTAATATAATATTTTTTCTTTAAAATTCCAACAAATCTTAAAAATCTTAACAAATCATAGTTTTAAATAAATTAAATAACTTAGTGTTTTGTAAGGCTTTTTAAAATCTCAAATGAAAACCCCAAGATTTTTTAAAGTCTGAATTAAATACACTAGGATTTTTAAAGTCTTTAAAAGTCTTTAGAAATCCCAAATGAATACACCCCTATTAGACTTTTTAAGACTTTTAAAACTCTTGGGGTATTCATTTGAGATTTTAAAAAGTCTTATAAAATCTTGAGGTATTTAACATATTTGAGACTATATTTTGTTAAGAATTTTTAAGTTTGTTGAGATTTCAAATGAAAAAAACTTGTACTAAATCTAATTCAAAATCAAACCACTAGAACAACTAAAAAGACCCCACTAGGGTAATACCCGAGTGTCTGATCCCATTGGGATAATAAGGTGACACTCAGGTTCACAGAGGCCAAACGGCCCAAACCAAAAACACAATCCTAAAAAAACTAAAACACAAACCTAAGAGTAAATAGAGCAAAACACAAACATAAGCAAACAGCCTCCCCCGCCAGATAAATCGAGATTGACGGCAGACAACCAACCCCAACGACGGCTCCCGAGCGCGAAAACAACCGCCCGCCACTGCGAAAAGCCTAGCAAGACGGGTACCCGCACCCCTGAAATAATCGAAGATCTGGCCCGCACTCCAATCACGTGAAGAAACCTTCACGGCTCGGCTTCACCGAGTCAGCCCGCCTGAAACAGCACACCATTCATCTCAAAATGTTACTCGAAATTTCAAACGGATACACCCTCTAAAATTTCACAAGATTCCTCCAAAATATAAAAATGTTTAAAAGTCTTAAATCTCTGAAAGTTTCAAAATATTACTCGAAATCCCAAACGAATACACTTCCTAAGTTTTTTAAATTATTTAATATAGAGAAGATAATAAGAACAATATGAAAGCAACAAAAGTTGACGTTTTATAGCGAAAAAACAGGGCTAAAGTACACATATGCACACAATATATTTTCTATCTACCAATTATGCTAAGTGATTTATTCCATTCCAACTCTATTGCAAGTAAAGGTTTTTATTTCCAAACATGCTAATTATCTCTAATCTCTATGTCTCTCTAATCAAAACATACAAATTGGTAACTGTTACATTCATATTTAAAAAAA